TTATCTATTTAGATTAAGAACCCATGCGTGTGTTTTCTAATTGTTTCGTGATGGTCGTATGGTATACTTTTTTGTTTCTTAGCTGAGTCACAAGGTTTTGATTATAAAATTAGAGGTGAGTTTTTTTACGAAATATTCTTTCATGTTAATTTGTTCTCGTCTTTTGACTCCATTCTGATTCATGGAGTCTTTTACACTAGTATTGTACGCAGCAGCATGATTCATATTTTTGTTAGATGCGCTGGGGAGTGAGGGGAAAGGCTGACATGGTTGATTTTTCGACAGTTGAATATTTTCTTGCTGCATCAATAATTATATTAAAAAAACAATAAAGTTGATTTGTACAGTGCGTTGTACACTAGTATCGATTTTTCAAAGCGTATCGCCTGGACATTTTTCAAGGCAAATGTAGTCGTAACGTTGAGTTGTCGTTCAAGCCATCTCATGTGACAAAACTACCCAGCTGCTGCGGATGATCTTAGCAGCAACCGAACTTCATCACTACATTTACCATGAAAATGGCCCGTAAGATACAGATCGAAACATCAGGATTGGTGTCTCATCTGACAGGTGCCATGTTGGCGTTGCGTAAAATTTTGTGGTATATATACGTATATACAGGAGCGTACCAGTGCCAACATTCGTCGAAGTGCCCAAGCTATGTTGTACGTGGTTCTGCGTCAACGACAGCATTTTTTCTCATCTGCGGGTTAATTTCTCCAGTGATACTGGCATTAGGTTATCCAGGTGGATTGTTATACTTGGCCGAAGTAAAGCAATCCGTGAAAACAGGCGTGCCGTTTCAAATTAGGCCTCGCTGCACAAGAGGCATACTTTTGAGGGCGGTCACCCGCCTCATCATCCTGCTAAGTTTAAGCTTTTCGAAGATTGTTTTTTAGTGATTGTTCGAACAATTTTTTCTAGTTCCCGGAGCTCCTAGAAATTTGAAGTTGTCGCTTGTGAACTCATCTTCGGTTGCTGTGAAGTGGGACGAGCCCGTGGACAAAAACGGGGAACTGGTCGGCTACTCTGTGTACGTCGAAGAACTGGACGCCGAAGGTCGTCCGGTGTTTCAGGGTGTGATCCGCCCCGTCCAGCGGACAACCGTTGACACGGTAGGGAGTTGGTGTTGAATTTCTCCATTCTCTTATTCATCACTTTAGAGAGAAGCAGTGGTCCACGATCTGAAGATAAACACGAACTACTCGTTCCGCGTCAACGCCTACAACCGCAAGGGTGACGGTTACTTCGTCAAGGCAAAGACGATCTTCATTCCGCCAATCGGTAACAGATTTAACCATTTCGTCACGGGCATCTAGCAACGATCCGTCTGTTCGTCATTTTTAGCCCCTTCCGAACCAAGGAACGTTCATGCAGACCTGATGTACCATCAGCCGCCGTTGAAGCTTGTGCTTAAATGGGACGAGCCAGAGAAAACCTACGGCATCCCGGTACTTCGTTACCGGCTTCGGTATCGCATAGCCGGTGGCCAGTCGGACGAATTCGAAACTCTGTTTTTGAACGACACCGGAACCACTATCGAACCGCTGAGTAAGTACGGATACCGGTATGGAACTGGTCTGATCAGCATACACTTATCCAAACCATATAACAATAGACACATGGCGTGGATTCGTTTTACTTTGCTCTTTTCAGTAACGATGAATAAATATTCATAATTGAAATGGAGGTTTCTGCCTACTTCAAGCCGTATCATGGTAGGGAATATATTGTATAAGATATACGGTCACATCGGGATTAACCATGTTTTTTTGACATTGTTTATGGAACTCAACCCAGTAATTGTGATTGAGTATATGCTAGCAAAATTTATTGACGTTGATAGAGGCTCTCATCAGAATACTCAAGAACTGCAGTCACCGACTTGTAGAACATCCGCACATCGTACAGTAACCACTTTCAAAGGACATTTAAGTGTTCGATGCCAGCTTTTCAGTATTTGACAGAGACAGCAACAAACGGCTTATTAATTAAACAATTTCGATATATCATGAATCTTTTTTGATTTGATGAAGGCCTCCAGGATTTTTTTTTTCAATTTCTACTTTATGTGATTCTTATCCATCTTGTTCCAACGATCTGCTTCACCTCATAACCTCATTTTCTTCGCCACTTTAACGTCTTCATTCCGGAAATATATTTTCTGTGTATATTCGTTATGTACATATATTAAAATATCAACAAAAATCAGATGTGCAATGAATGCTCAGCATTCTTCGACATAAGTCAAATGACAAATTAAAACATTGAAGAATTTTGTCAATGACAGAAGAAAGGGCAAGTTTGTAAACGTTGGAATGTCGGACTCGCTTACATTTCATGATTAGGGATCACTTGTGCTGTCCTTCTATTCACTGGTGCAGCACTGATCTTCATTTTCATACCATCAGGCAGTAGTATTATATTTTAAAAACAGAGTCCGTAGCCTTGTGGCCAGCAAGGTTTGTGGTCCTGAGTTTCTTTACCACAGGGTGATACTTAGTTATCAACGTCCAAAGAAAAGCAGAATGGCCAGAGGCCGGAGATCGAACCACTAATTTTTCGGTTCTGAGTCCGACGCTCTATGGACTGAGCAGTCGCCTTCCAACGCAGTCCAGCAAGTGACAGTGGGTGAAATGATTAATGACAAATATCCTTAAATCTTTTTATCCTATAAGTGTACTGTGTAGAACAGTCATCTTTTCAGAGTATGGAAGAATGTACGAGTTTTACGTGGCAGCAGAAAACTCGAAAGGTGTGGGAAAAGAAAGCCTGTTCACCGTTCAAACGCCCACTGGAGGTACGTAGATTCGTTTCTCATCATTCTGGTTTGTTGTCATAAACAATGTCTACTTTGACTCATTCAGTGTTCTCTGTTGTGTTATTAGCGTTTTACTTATTTTAGTACTGTTTCTCTTCATTAATCATTATTTCATTTTTTCAGCCAGAATTCACTTGTTTAGGCAGCACGTCTTGTGATCTGTTCAAAGAATTCGCCGACTTTCAGGGATACATAAAATACGTTTTTGGAAATATATGCAGATCAGATGTCAGATATATTGCATTTGTATCATAAGCAAAAACAGGGATGATTTTCCTGTAGCATATGAAGAGTAGCAGCGTTTGTGATGATCTCGAAGTTGCTTTGGCGAACAAACTGATGGAAGAAGCGTCTTCAGATTCTCAAGTATTATGGAGCCGTGTCCTGTCTAAATGCCTCGCCCCGGCAGTTAATTAGGAGTAAAAGGAAGGTGAAGTTCGCCGTTAAAGCTTGTCTTCGAGACGTTATGCGGTAGTCATCTGTGTATAATATTTTCAGACCATGATCTTCAATACATGCTAACGAAATCAAATCTTGCTTCATAGGTCAGATTGGTTGATACTATTCATAAGGAATTGATGTCCTGTAAGCAGATCTTCGACCTTATTAGCAATACTTCAGGTTTTAGCGCGAGATAATTTTTCATTTTTCTTTGACATTTCAGCTTCAGGTGCAGAAATCATCATCAGGAATTTGCCGGATATGATCGTTTCTTTGTCTGAAGCAGAAACATCGCAGTAAAGTAAATGATCATTCCGCCCCAAATGCCTACTTATTATGTTAAAGGGTTGCGTTGATTCTACATATTTTTCGTTTGTCGTTCAATTATTTTTTTTCCGAAAAATAAAATTTTTTACCTTTAGTGTTTAGTCAGTATGTCTTTCATTCGTTCATTGATTACGATGTTGCTGTTGATCACGCGTTCCTTTTAGTGCCCGATTCGCCGCCGATGGATATTCATTACAAATTTGATGCCAAGGCGAAAACGCTTCAGTTCAGCTGGCTTTCTCCGCCAGCGTCTGACCACAATGGTGAAATCAAGCGATACCAGACTCGGCTGACACTTCCTTCTGGCTCAGACAGTATCACAAGCGAGGTTGGTAAACTGTGCATATTTCTAGCATTCAGTTTTTGTTGTGCCTGTGGTTCAGAATGTTAACTGTCATGCAGTTGATGCGGTCGTTCAGTCGATACAGCGTTGATGATAGTCTTTGTTTTGAGGTAAACGAAAATACGATCACTTACCAGAAGGTCGAGCCGGATACGAAGTACCAGTTCAGCGTCAGAGCGGGTACTGTTAAAGGCTTTGGACCCTGGAGCGATCCGGTGATGGCACAGGCGAAGTTCAGTGAATCGGGTAAGTTGAAGAACAAAATTTGTTCGAAAATTGTGTGAGCCGTCAAGTCGAAGGCGTTGAAGTGAATGTGTTGTTGTTGTTGTTGTTGTTGTTGTTACCATCGTCATCGTGGTCAAGGACAGAGGACACAGATTATTGATGTCTGACGCTTTGGCTTTTCAGAATGATTTGGGCGGTTAAATGATTGCGGAAGTTTGATTGACGTGAACAGTTTAATCGTTGCATGCGTCAAGTTTTCAACTTTAAGCGGCTGTGTTTTTCAGTGATTGCGTGTCGAACATTTGCCTTTTGCCATAAGTTAGTTGCACTGGCAGGAAGAGTATTTTAGAGGAGTGGTGCAGTCTTCGTAAGTAAGAGACTAGGTGCTATCCAGCTGGCATCAGATAAATGAAGAAGAACAAGGAAATTCGTTTACCTGGTGTAGAATTTTGCATAGCAACAACGAGGGAACTTAACTATAGGCTACTGTTCGTAATCGCCTACACTGAAGACGTTTAAATGTGATATCATTTTGTCATTTAGTCTTTTCTTTGAACAAAAGCTGATAGTAAAATGAGTGATGAATGATGAACATGTAGCATCAAGAATGGAAAGAATGTAACAATCGGAGTTGTTAAAACCTAGGAAATTTGGCATTGCTTGAATTCGTCCATTCATGCCGTCATCCCTCTAAAATTGGAAATGAGGATGATTTTTGGCATTGTCATTGAAAGGGCGAACCGTCACGAACATTTAGGATCAAAGTTTACTGCTGGAAAGAAATCCAAACAAAAAGGAATCTTGCTTCCGGGAAATAAGGGAAACAGTCATTACTTGCTCAACTGACCAGTCAGAGATCCAGAGGAATGCCAAGAATGACTTAGGGCAAGAAGATGGAACGACTGTGCTCTGGACTGGAGCCATCTTCTATCGAAACTCAAACGCTGGCACAGGATTGGGAAAGTTGAAGACACAAACTGACGAACCTGTCTCTGCGACTCGAAAGGATAGGCTGTCAGCGAAACTGACTACTGACTATAGAATTTTATTTTGCAACATAACCGAACGAGCAGAAACATTAAAAATAAATGAATAAGATAATGATGGTTAGTCTCCTTACAAAACTGTGAACAGGTTCGTATCCAGTGGATGTCAGCCATACATTAGAAACAACGTAAAATTAGGCTTAATGTTTCATAAGACAGAACCTGTATTAGATAAAGAATGCACATGCTCTTCACTGACATTCCTGAATCGTAGACAGAAGTCTATGAGTGAACTGCAATGCAGGCGTTCCGAATTTGCGCTTCAGTTAGTGGCCCAAAATAGGAACGGAAAGTGACGGTTTACGGACATAATTCTCCTTGAAGGAAAAAACGCCTCAGCATAGGAGATGGGGTCGGCTACGGCTTCCGTAGTTTTGCAGCGTGCGTACTGAATAACTGCATCCTGTCGTCACGTCAGAGTTCCCTCATTAAGCTTTTTAATTTATTGTTAGTTTCATCGAACAAATCTCACCAATGTTTGATTGCATAACACTGCCATCACATTGCCCACAAATGCTTATTCATCGGATTTCTTGTTCATTTCGAATTTAATCCATATATCTTAGGATTATTACACTATCCGCAAACCATACGTGCGGCCGATGGCATTCAGCGTTCTATCGGCCAAGAGCCAATATGCATAATCCAGTGTGCATAATCCATCATAGAAAGTTTCGCCACGTGTTTTATTAATCTGATTACCGCCGTCAAGAAGTCTGCTCCCAAAGCACCTGGTTTCTGCTGTTGCCTGTGTGACCAGACATTTTACACATGCTCAGTCGTCACCTGGGTGATCGAATGAACGAAAGTAACAATGTTACGTTACGCATTTTACCATTTTTTATGAGGTAAAGCATAACGGCGAATTTCTTTGTTGAGAATTTTCCTCGTCGTAAAATGCTTATGTTTGAATCTAACCTTTAGCATAGTCGGTTGCCTTTCAGTAAAGCTCGAGTTAATTAAAATCATGCACATGCGAGACAAAAGTCTTGACTCTAGGTGAAACACTAAACAGACGGATAATAAATTTATTGTTTGTTTATTGACGATGGCAGCAGTTGGATAGACGTCTTTTTCTTAATTCATTTTTCCTTTCTTCCATATTTTACCTTAGTGACTCGTCACCTTGTAGAACGTGAGACTAGCGCGTGAAAGATCACATATCTGGATGGCAGCTAAAACGTAAGGCTGGGGCGCTAAGAACAGTATGCTTACGATTGACAGATATTCGCCACTCGAGCACAAATCTAATCGAATGCATGACTCATTCAGTGGCAACGGAAACGCTTTAAAGTTGTAGGCCGGCATGGTGCAGTAACTGCGGTTACGTCCTTTGTCCGTTTTTGTATAAAAGACTGTTATTTTCTCTTTACATGTATTTACCACACTTTCTGTTCAGAAAATGTTATTTGAAAGTCGAGAATGCCTCTGCATGAAACAGAACACATGAAGAAAGTGAGGAGAAGCAGATGAGAAAGAAGCGACAGATCGCTCTGAACCGTTTTTATTTCTCTATGCTGGCAGAATAAGAGATTTTAGTCCTTCTAATTTTACTAGTTCATTCTTCCTCCGTTTTGGTGACTCATCACAGGAAGGGTGGGAATTTGTATTTCTCCCGTACGTGTACCTCGACAGATTCATCTGTTCACCATAGCCTCATATGAGGGTTGTCAGGCGGGGATTCTATTAACATCTCTTATAGTTACAGCGGAACAAAGTTGACAGAATTGGTATCTTAACTTCACGGAATGTTTATTTTATTATTCGCTCTAAATCGATTACGCGTCGATGTTTGTATTTTTCAGAAGCCTTCAAAGTGGGCCAAAACCTTAAACTCGCTCCCAATTATCCTGTTTTAGAAAATAGATTTCCTCACTTAATTTCGCGAAATATCCTTAGATAGAGGAATCATCATCTCTTGCATAAACAGCGATGATTTTGCTTTTGTCCTTTTGTCCTTTGTCCTTTACACTCGCACTCGAAATCTTGAGGTTCAATCATCCTCGTCTCGTTGAACTACGACAGCACCATTTCCGCTTGCCCACTGTATTATGATTGCTTTAAATGGCTTATCGATCGGATGCCAGCACGGCATGGCGGAAAAGTCACATCAGATTATAAAATAGCAACCAACTTAGTTTTTCAGTGGTTCCGAAGTTTTCTTGAAAATGGTTCAGCGTGAAACTTAGCTACGGACTATGTATTTCACTATAATACGAGGTCCAAAAGTAATTCTGCTTTATGCGCTAACCTCTTTGCTGTTGGACAGAGAAACGAGGTACTTCGTCTTAAGATTACTTAAGTTATAGCCTCGACACTTGTTAGTTAAACAAACTTTTGACGCCTTCTCTTATAGATCCCTTAGCATTCTTTCTGTTCCTGCCTTCGATACTGGTTTACAATTAAGGCACTTGTGGATGATGTAATTTGAATGAAGATCGCATCACCCACACAAAACAGACTACTGCAGATTTCTCTCCTCGTAGAAGCACAAGTAGACCAACCCCTAACGATTCCAATTTTTTTCCTTTTTATCCTGAGAGGGGCAAACTAACCAGTGAATGGTTCGTTGATCTCTTTACCCAAAAAATATGTCCCGTATGAAACCGTTCTCTTTCAAACGTAATGGGAATTGGACAGACATTAATGATATATACATTTATTGACGCATTGGCGCATAGCTCGTCCAAAACCAGATTTAATAGCGTTTTGTATACCGCCTTTTGGTTATAGTTACCGCATGTATGACTCGGTGATACTTGAGCCCGTGCGGTATCAGATGTATTTCGCATCAATTTTCTGCTAGATCAAGTTCCTGTTCATAACGAACGATGTT